TGAAAAGGAGTGATGCACAGGGGAGAAAAAGGAACATTTTTTAGACTGGGGATTCAAGACCCTCCAAGGGTCACATAACCCATATTCCTCAATAAACGAAACAACCACCTGTGCAGACCTAGAGACAGATGTAATCTTAGACGAGGATCGGTCTAAAATGGGATTTAAACAACAATTAAAATCACCACCTAAAATAAGATAGTGTGATTCGAGATCCGGAATCATTGGAAAAAAAAATCTGAAGAAAGCATTGTCATCTATGGTAGGGGCATAAATATTTGCTAAGACCAGTGGTGTGTTATACAATCTACCTGAAATGATAACATAACGACCATAAGGATCCGAAAGACTGTGTGATACTGTAAATGGAAGTGCTTTGTGAATTAAGATTGCTACACCCCTTGATTTGTGAGAAAAGCTAGAATAATATAGTTGGCCCACCCACTTTCTTCTCAACTTATTATGCTCTAAAAGACCCAAATGAGTTTCCTGAAGATAAGCTACCATCGTATTAAGGTCACGTAGGTGATTTAACACTTTGTTGCATTTGGCCGGGGAGTTTAAGCCCTTAACATTCCAACTAGTAAATATTGCATTACCCCCATGTCCCAGTGGTGCTGTTAGAGTAGCCATCAATGATGGTTTAGGTCACTGCAGAAAGAAGTTTAGAAGGAAAGTCACCCTGGACATATGGAATGACAATATCATAGAATAGAGACCATATATTACAGAAGAAAAAAAACAACCAAGGAAAAACTACAAAATACTGAAGCCCACCCAAAACACCAACCCACCCGACACTGCTCCCCAGCTGAGCAGCATTAACTAACCCAAACAAACTACCTTTCCGGAACTCAGTGCATAGCATTGTACTGCTACAAACAGGGGTCATGTGACAATCAACTAACAGTAAAAGATATCAGAACACAAGAATAATCGACAAGCTACAGAAACATAGCCAACAAGGAGAGATAGTACACAGCTAAGTATTGGATTCAGCTGAGGAGTGATGTTAAACAAAAGCTTCTGCGTCCGCTGGGTCGTCTAATCTGTGCTGTTTACCGTTCTGAAGAGTTATCCTCAGCTGGTCAGGGTAAAAGAAGCCGTACGCTTTAAATGCTGGATTGTCTCGTAGTAGAAGCAGCGCGTTTCTTCAGCAAAGCCGTGGAAAGACCTGGAAAAATATGGACTTGCCTTCCGTTGTAACTCAGAGATGCACCCAGTTCGTTGGATTTTTGTAAAATACTGATTCTGTCCCGATAGTAATGCAGCCTGACAATAAATGGCCGCGGGGCTTCATCCACTTTCGGTTTCGGGCGTAATGTCCGATGTGCTCGGTCAATTACCGGATCCACGTCGAGACGGAGAATGTCACGAAGCACGCGACCGATAAACTGAGTGGGCTGAGAACTTTCCGTACCTTCCAAAATACCCACCACTCTAATATTGTTATGCCTGGATCTGCTCTCAAGATCATCACATTTTGCATTCAGACGCGAAACCTCTTTGGAGAGAGTGGTAACAGTAGTTTGCAGGTCTTTAACCGAGTTGTCGCAGAAAGCGGCAGTCTTTTCCAGTTCACCAAGCCGGTCCGCGTGAGACTCAGATGTCGCCCGTAAGGAGTTAACAGAAGAGGCAAGCTCCTCACGAACCGACGATATCTCACTCCGAAGCGACCCTGCCATTGAACCTATTTTTCAAAAATGTCCGACCCGAGTAATTTCAGTTGATTGGTGAAAGTTGTGAGGCTTAGCTGGTCACCAGTCGTGTCGGTACATTGGTCTAGGCCACTCGGGGAGTCACGTCCGCCATCATGGCTTTAGCTTGTCGAGTATTCGGCATAGTTGCTCTCGCGGTGAAACGCAGAAAGAAAATCTCCTTACAGCAA